GTCGCACGATCTTCCAGCACTCTCAGGATCTAAGAAGCTCATAATTGCCGCTCCATGAAAGGTAAAGGACTTTGCTTATTTTCTATTCTCTCCATATACGACGGAATTACTCCTCGGAGAGGTTGATTGAAGAAACCTCCGAAGAACTTCGTCAAGGAAGAACTCTACATATTGGGAGCGACGGAGCATACACCGTAACAGGACATCGCTCCACATAGCCTTCAAAGGACACCTCGGATTAGAAGACAACGATCACAGAGTGTTTTATCAACGCCCTATAACTGGAGAACGTTGCCTTCAAGGTAAACCCTTGCCATTATAATTTATCTCTCTCTAACGTGAGCTCTCTCTCGGATTTTAGCGTTAGGTTAGAATAGATTTTAGAATACCTATTTATATCTTGATTCGCGTATGTTGTATTTAATATCTTTGTGTAAATTTTCATAGTTGTTTATTAAATGTGTTCGTTAATTTAAACCCGTGTAGTCTTTTGGACACCTGATTACGACTTCCGACTCCTCCCCACTCATATTTTTAGCCCTCCTATTGCCATCCGACAACCGAGAGCGGGTCTTTCCGACCCGTGCAGATTAAGTGGTCATTAGGCTTTAACCCAGTGGCCCCCTGCTACTCACATTAGTATTCAGCAAATTAAATGATCAGCTCATATATAATTGAAATATATTGAACAAAATTGGAAAATATATATTTCATAAAAGATGTTTTTTCATTATTATTTGAAAAAGTTTATATCAAACCAAAGTTTGCAATGTCATTTAGCATGACACTGAAAACATTTGAGATAAGACTGTATTGTTTCAAGATATCTTTTTGTTTTTCCAAAAGAACAAAAAAACATATTTTATAACCCTTAAACATGGTCAATTATATAATAATCTATTTATGAAAAAAATACAGTTTTTTTACATTATGTTATACTAATATTACAATAATATATTAATGTTGTTAATGAAAATTTATTTCATATAATAATTTAATTAGAACTGTTAAAAATGTTTACAATTTCCTCTTCTCTTTTCTTTTGCAACTCTCTTAAATCCTTTTGTTTTTCAAACAATTCTTGTGCTTCTTTTTCACGTTCTAACCATAGCATATGTTGCCTTTCTCTAAAAAAAATTTTAATATTTGACATTCTTTTAATTCATTCATAAATGAAAATAAATTCATTATGTAATATATACTACAACATTGTAAAAATGAAAATTCTATATAAAATCAATGCTACTTTCTTAAAAAAAATATAAAATATTTAAAATTGATTTTATAAAATAAGTTTTCTTTTTATCTATAATCAAATAATTAATATTTTTAAGTACCAAAATACAAATTTTCATATATAAGGCTGTATCAATAGCAATTTTACAATGTAAACTTATAGCAACTAGGATCACATTTTTGAGATTATTTCTAATATTTCCCACAAAAAAAATATATGAAGGAAATTATAAAAATCTTCAAGTTATCTTTTAAGCATATCAAATTTACTCTTTGTACTAACATGAAGATTTGTTTTGTTACTATAGACAAACCCTGCTCTCACTGTGTTGTCTGTAGCAACCTTTGAATCATTTCAATTATGTAATAAGCTTTCTGATTTTTACAGCTAATTATTTTAAGCAGCATGATAAGTACTCTTCCTATCATTAATCAAAAATCAGAAATTAAATTGCATGGCCAATTAATAGAAATTTTAGAAAAAATAATAGAAAGCTTTATAGTGTTAATAATGCATTACTATTAAAAGTTATCTATTAAAATTTTAATTCTATTATACACTTATGTAAAGGAGGAATAAACATTATTTTATTAATTACCTTTCTTTTTCTTCTTCTTCCAATTTAATGCTTTCTTCAATTTCATCTTCAGAACTTTCATTTTGTGCTGCAAGATTTAATCATTATTTATATTATTATTAATTTATCTATTAATTAAAATTATTTAATGTTACATAAAACTATTAAAAAGTAATAAATTTTTATATCAAATATACAATAAAATGGTATGAAATAGATGATATATAACAATTATTTAATCCTCTTCCTTCCCTAACATATTTTTCGTAATAAATTGAAAAGTTCCTCCTAGATATGAACCACTCATTTGCCAAACTGATTGCCAAAGGATTTTTCAACAGTATTTATGTAAGAGTTAATAAATTTTGATTAAAATACATATATAATATAATATAATAAAATATTATATTATATTATATAATTATAATAGAATATATATATTCTATTATATTATCAATGTGTCAATATTCTGCTGTTAAAAAAATTTCTAATTTTTTTTACAGTATATTCTCAGTAATTCAAAGTGGAAAAAAAACTATTTTGTGTTAACTATACTTAATTTTTTTAATGCTATTTTATGTTACAATTTTGTTATTTTTTTGTATTTTTATTTTATTTTACAATTTCACCAATATCCTAATATGTTTTTGTTCTGTATACAAATATATCTGTATATCTTAAATAATCCAATAGTTATGTATTAAAACCAAACAAATTATAGCTTGATATAATTTAGCTTTTCAAAAAATAGAACATCACTAAAACTATGCAAATTTTTTTCATTTAATAAATTTATTATTATTATTTAATAAAATATAGAAAATACTTAGATTTTAAGTGATTAATTAATTATATAAAAACAAATCTTTACCTTTTTGTTCTCGTAATTTAGCTAAAGCCTGTCTCTTAAATTTTCTGCGAAATTTTTTTAACAAAGCACGGAACTTCTTATGGCTGAAAAAATATTCTTTCTTAAATATGGTAATATGCTGATCTCTACAATAATTTTTTTATATTAACTATAATATTATATAGAAATAAAATTCTAGATCTATCTAAATATGCAAATAAGCAAACTACATGTGAGATCCAGACTTTTTACCGAATTTTCCGATTAATATTCAGCATTTTTCTAAACCCCCAATTTAATTTTCCTTTAAAACATAAACGACAATCTAACGAAAAAAAGGGAAAATTTCCGATCTCCCCTTTTGTTTAAAGTAAACATCCGTCCATTTCGAAACTAATCCCACATTCCAACTCCAAAGTTGATAGTTAGCATGGGACCCGAAACATTAAAGCCCGTTACTGCGGGAAAAAGAATCCTTCCATCCATCCTGACAGTGAAAAGGTTTAACAACCTGTTGCCGGATTGGGAGACCTACACCCTCCCCGGCGGTTCACATACACATAATTTAAAATATGCCTTCATAATTAATGTTTTGAACAGAAAAAAATAACAAAATGCTCATATACTATATCTTTTTTTTTTTTTTTTGCATATAATAATATCCTAATATATATTGAATATAAATAAATGCCATTTTCTTCTGTAAAAGAAGAAAAATTTTAACAGTATTTAACCATCAATTATTCTTATAAAAAGCAAGACTGCTGCATATTCATGATTGTCACAGGGATGAATGCCTATGATTACGGAGTAGAAACCAAAGTATTCTATCACAACAAACAGAACTGATCAGAAAATAGAGATGTATAATTACTATAATTCATATAAAAATGACAATGTTTATTTATTTGTATAATTAAAAATGAATAAGTAAATAAATAATTTGCAGATTAATATTTTTTTCCTTTCATAATTCTACCATATTGATAAATTTAATATATATAATTTAAACTAAACAAAATTAGAATATATATTGGTAAAAATGATATAAAATATATAAAAGTTTGGTTAATAGAAATCAAATATTCTCTTTTCTGTGTATGAAATTGTTTCTTAGATCTCCCAGTAAGAGAATATCTTGATAAAAAAAATTCGGTCTGAAAACCATTGTTCAACTTCCCACATGAAAAAGATACTATCAACAATCAGAAATGCTGATATCAAAGCTGTTCCATTACCTGAACACTGGGAGTTCAGTTATGGAACCAAAGCTATAGATCATACCTATAGGAATAAGAAAGTCAAAGGAACCATATCTCTACATATGACCTCTACATATGACCCTTCATGAGTTATAGACCCCTGAAATCAGCCTAATTCCAGGACATGAGCAATCAGGAGTCACACTGTGCTCTCTGCTAACAGTAAGAGTATCACATTTAACCCTCACAATTATGCAGGCTTTGAGTAGCACTTGACTGTTCTTGGAGTACTTAATGTAATAGTTTTAAGGAGTGTGGGGCTCACCCAATTCCCTGTCAGTGTGGGAACCAAGGTGCTCACAACCTTGGTTCCCACACTAACACAGAGCATAGAGAGTAGGCAATAGTACTGGTTCAAGGTAAAAACTGTTAATAAAAATAATAGTTAAGGGATTTTTATTATTTATCTTAAAAGCAATGGTTGCTGTGCCTAAAACATAACTTGCTTGCAAACATGATGGTAACCAGAACTGTAATTGTCAAGGTTCCACATTTGGAGGTAAATATCTCATGATGGGCCGCACAGTGGACTTTCTTTTATTCTTTCTGATAAATATTGTTAGAATGTCCGACCACCATGCCAGGATGTTTGTTAGCAGAGTGCGCAGAGTGACTACCTATAGTACCTGAAAGTAGGCTGATTTTGGAGCTATATCTGACAAGGATCAGACATACAGGTATAGTTCCATTGACTTTTTTGCTCTTACAAGGGTCTACAATTCTGGGAGGTGGCAAATCCCTCCACCAGGGTTCACATTTTACCTATAAAAGTACAATTCTGTGTACAGTACATTTATAATTTAAAGTTTACTGCTTCACAATATATATACAGTATTAGATAATCTCTTTTAACATTCATCATCATCAGACAGTAATTCAATATTCAATATGGCATCATCATCTATAAAATGATAACTAATGTATTTTGATCTAAATTTTAATTTTCAAATTTCAGTTATCATCAGAACTCATAAAGCTTATAACATTTGTAATTCCCTCCCTTAATAAATAAAATTGAGAGAGAAAACGTTAGTGTATTGCTTAAAAATAATTACTAAAACTTATTGCAAAAATAGAAATAGTATATTTTTATACGGTTAAAAAGTACTATATCATCTTACTTCATTATAAGCAGAGAATTTCCAGTGTAAACAACACATCCTCCATCTTTTTTCAAATCAATTGTTTCTCGATCCGCCACTAGAGGCTCCTCGTTCAAATTTTTAAAATAATTTCTTGTGAAAAAATAAATTGAAAATAAATTATTACGTTAATATTTATTTAACAGAAATACAAAACTTAAATAAAAAATATTAATTCATTTATTATAAATAATTTAATAATATCAGGAGTCACGCAGTGACTCCCCGCCAAGTAAAAAATGTCACTGACTGACTACATATACAGGAATTCAGGCCGGATAGTCAAGAGGTCAGTGTGGCAACCAATTGCTCTGAGGGACCCGGGATCGAATCCGGACGGATCGAAAAATTTCTGGGGATTTTTCGACCCGTCCGGATTCGATCCCATCGGACCGACCGGATATATCAGCCTCCCCCATCCCTCACCACTGGCCATCCATTGTGGGCCTAGCCAAACTCATAATGGGCTTGCTCAAAGAGTCCTCTTAGTGCCCATAGGGCGAAAAGAGTTTATATATATATATATACAGGGAATGTCAGAGTTGCCGATTTTCGGAGGTCAATTTCTCCGTCTCCCCAAACACCTGAAGTAATTCCGAATATCGTTTGAAAAGAACATTTTCTTAGACAGTGTGCAAAATTTCAAGATTTTCTGTAATGCGGTTGCCGAAATATAAGCAATTCAAAAATGCAAAATTTTTTACATCGCAGTTGTTTTTGTTTGGATTTTTATATCGGTTTTATATGAAGCCGTGTAGTAAATGCATCATCATGCCGCTTCAAGAACCCAGGTTCGAATGCGGGTCTGTTTAGCAATCTATATGAGTGACTGTATCGGATATGTCAATTCTCATCACTCGCGTCATCAGTGACCGATTGTATAAAACCACTGTACAGTACATTTGTTGATGGTTCGCGCATAACCGATTGGCCTGGTCACGTGGGATTTGTTCCTAAATATGAGCCAGTTTCCCCGTATGAAAACTTACCGGAAGACATTCTCCCTTTGGCAGCTTGCTCATGGGTTACGGTGTAATCGATGGTAATTAATTCATTAACAAACTAACCAATCATCATCCGCTTCTTTGTGAACCTGACTAAATCCACGATGGTTATGGAAAAGGGAATTTTTAATATCCTTGGAATTACAGCCGGATGGCCAAGCGATTAAGGTTTCTATGTCATTTATGTACAGTTTCTGTGACCTACTTTTGTACCGATAATATAGAAGGTTTACATTATTTTAAAATTATATATTATCTGCAAATAAATATATACTGTAATAGCAGAAAAAAAAATCTGAAAATAGAACTATATATTAATTTGTTACTTTGTAACTTAAAGTCGTTGCATCTACAATAATTTGACTGAACATTAGACCATCTTTGGGCAATATTAGTGAATAAACTTTTAGGTACAAAGTAAAACTCGAAGTTTTTTTCTATGACGATGCTTGTTTTCTTGATTTATTATCGTGATGACATTGCTTCATTCATAACTTCATGTAGTTGTAGTCCTATATAATGTGCACTGTATTCATATGTTGAGTCATACCATCAAATCTGCTTCCGGTATTCTTAAGCCACAACTTTCATAAATTTCCTTTATTTAGATGTTTTGCTGAGCTTTACTTTTCAACCTGGTTCCACGGTTCCAGCAGTCTTTTTTTTTTTTTTTTTTTTAAACTATCTAACCTTCTTTTTATTCCAAATGCTAATGTAGCTAGGTCCAAATAGGAAATTCCCAATTTTTCCGAACATGTCAAATACTTTTACTTTTATATAAATACTGTATTTTTATGGTTTCATTCGTTCTAATTGGCTGTACCTTAGAGTTACACAACGTATTACTCGTCATCAAACTTGTTTTTCTTTATATTTTTTTTATACCCTATCTTTAGACTTTCCATTTCTTTCAGAACCTTTCCCTATCGGTCTTTTCGAAAAATGGGCTTAGTGGAATAATCTTTCCATGAAGAGTTTTTACATTTTAAATACATTTGTAAACGGTTACTTTAAAATTTGTAATTTTTATTATATTTATTAGTTATATTTAAATACTGTAGGCATATTTATCAACTCTATTAATTGTATTGACATTTGTATTTTAATTCTTTGTTACGAGCATTATTTGTCGGGGATAATATCAATAGTTTTGTGACATTTTGTTTTGTATGTGTAATAAATAATAAATAAATATTTTTCAGTAAAGAGTATTTATTTCAAGCTAATACTTATAATTTTAGAAATAAAAATATTTTACAAATATTATTTACTATTATTTCATATATCAACGAAAAGTATTTTGCAGAATAGTCAAACATAAAACACTAAAATTCAAAATCAATTCTATTTTATTCGAGTAATTAATTATGTAACAAATTTTAGTCATAATTCCTTGGTTTTCAAGTTAATGTAGCCTCTTCTATCATTAAATCTCCTTTTCTCCCTGAAAACCAAATGTAAAGATGCAGATTTGAAAAAAATTCATTATATTGAGTTATAAATTTTATTAGTAATTCATAACTTACGGAAATCTCAATGATATCCTCAATTTTTGCTCTTTTTCCTGGAGGTTCTTCTGATGAATCTCTTCGTGGCTCCAACGATTTCGTTACGACTGTTTTTGATGGAGTCGTTTCTGTTACTTCTTTTATTTCAGTTATACTTGGAACAGAAGCTGAACGTCATAAATTTCTTCAG